CACTCAATCCAAATATTCTACTATTAAATTAAAAATTTTTGTTATTGTTAAATCCATGTCTAAATTTTAAGATGATTTATTAAATACCAAATTCTAATTGTGAATCAATTATAGTGCCGTAAAATTTATTATTCTCAAAAATGCTAAAAATCTTGCATCAAAATAAATCTGTCTCTTGACAAGCCCAATTATCTATTTTTAATTTTGATATCGAATACATAAAGAGAAAAACTAACTCTGATTTTCTAACTGGTAAATTTTTGCAAGGATTCCCAGGGGTGGATTACCCCACAGGGAAGAGTCTCATGAGCTCTCGTAATCACGGTGACTCTTTTCCCGAGGGGAGAGGTGAAGCAGCAATCCTCCTCGAATAAATCTTACGAAATATATTTATGGAGATTAATCTCCATCTCAACCTTCTTCCTCTGTTGATCATAAATCATCTCTTAAATCTTACTCAAAAATTCTCGAATCTACATTTGAATTATTACTTTGTATCAAAGTTATAGTCTCTCATATTCTCGAAATCAATGACGATGATTATCATCGTACATCCTCTAAGGCCATCATTGAGTGCTATCTTGGTATTAATCCTTTTCCCAGGAACATTTTATGATGGTAATATGCATGAAGCAATTCATATCCCCCTTAAATGTGTCAAAATCCAGCATAGATATAAAGAAGAAAATAAATCTATCACTTATAGTAAAACTACAATGCATCAAATTAAAACAATTAAATATAAACATCCTGAATATCAAAGTAGAAATTTTTTTTTTTTAATTATGGGACTTATATTGAAGCCATGAATAAAGCATTCCTTATTATTAATCCTATATGAAAACATTCTTGGATGTTTGTAATGATGTTCAAAATCCTATCCAATAATATTCCCCATTGGTTTTATCAATGGTGGGAAAATTGTGGTGGTGTAACTCAAATTTTATCCATTAAAATCAAAGCTACTTATTCTCATTGGGTCAAATATTTTCCATACATATCTTCCAGCTGATATTTTAATAGAAAGTTAATCAGATTTATATTTTTTTACTCAATGTCAAATTCCATGGATTTGGTCATTGATTCTTGAAATTCAACATGATACTTTAAATTATAAATGTTTATACATAAATTATTCAATAAAATGATGGACAATCATTTGTATCGAAAAAAAAGTTATTTCCATGAATAAAGTGATTCAAAGTAATAAAGCAAGTCTGCCTAAAAAATAAGCTAAAGAAGATATCTCATTTAAAAATCTTTATTAGCAACTAGGAAGAAATTTCTGAATGAATATACTGACAAACTTAAGGAAAGACTACAGCATCAACTTGCTAAATTATTTGAAGAAGACGAAGATCAGATGCTCGCGATACCAAGGGATCAATTGCTAGTGACGAGGAATCTTATAATTAGGAAAATTTATATATGACAATCGTTAAGAAGAAGAATCTCCATCCGACAGACAATATTTAGGGGTGGACCCTACCATGATCCAAAAGCTATCAAAAGACTATTTGCAAATCTAAAGCTGAATTAAATGAAAAGGTCAGATCAAAAGTACTCCTCATTATCTACTCTTCCCAACATCCATAACTTTAAGCTTTTGTAACTTTATATGTTATTATGTTATGCTTAAAGATTTTAGAGTATGTTAGTTCGACTGAGCTCTATATATAGTTCAGCAGTATCCTGTGTTTGGATGTCCAAAAACTGAGTTTAGTTTTTATTGCATTAAAGTTGTAAGGGGTACATCGTGAAACTCAATCCTGTTGCAGTCTGTAAGTTATTTTAGTATTTATAAAGTTGTTATTTAAATATTTGCAGTGTTATTTAATTTTAATTATTGTGAATATTTATTCCTGACTAAAATTATATATATATATATATATATATATGCACACACACAATATACATATTTATACATATACCTTTAATAATATGCATAAACTTGAAAGCACATAAGATATGGAAAATTTAATACATGTATATAGAATAAGTCATCAAATAAGCAATTAATCGATAATTAAATAACCATTTTATCGACCTCCTAACGAATTACTTGTTAAACCACTAATGAGCTTATGTGTGAACAATTAATGAACAAATAAGTAAACGTAAATGATTTTTCATTCAAATAAAGAACTTTTATTTTTTTGTTTTAAGTTGAGCCTTATAAGAACGAGTATTAAATTGGTTACCAAGTAGAGATGTTTGCTTATAACTTTATCTTTGAATGCAAACATTTGAATGATCCATGTTGTCGGCTATGAGAATATTTTGATGATCTTGTGTTAATGTAAAGATCTTAAGGAGACATAAAATTAATTTTAAAAGATATTATAATTAGTTTGATTTTTTTTTTCAATTATCAATATAAATAAAGTTGGGGAAGGGATTGTGGAATAACACAAAACCTATTACTTCATCCTCTTCATATTTTTACTAGAAATAGAATCTTAGGTACTTCATCAACATCTTGATTTCCTTGGCCACCTTCAATAAGCCCTAAGCATCAAGCTTTGCAAATCAGTATGCTATTAAAAACCCACACTTTCCATCTAAAAAAGAAAAGAAACCTATGAAAATAAGGGAGATCTTGAATAAAGTTCGAAATGTCACTTCTCAAGTCAAGCAGATGGAATGAAAGAAGATATAGCTCTACTATGATAAAAAAGAACTTATCAGTATATACGTAAACATATGTTAACATTTAAGATCTCTATGGCATCCTGACCAAAAGAAAAGAAAAAAAAGAATTCAAAATAGGATTTTAAAAAGTTAAAGTTGGATGGTAAAATGATAAAGAAGTGCATAATGTTATAACCGAATGCAGAAGACAATATATCTTGCTCTTTTCAGAAGCTTCCACACAGGCTACCAAACTTCTTCTCACCATTCTTGCGAACTATCGTGCTTGGATGGGACAAGTGATTAATTGTGCTCAATCAACCGTATTATTTAGCAAAACTATTCCTATTTGGAGGAACATCACGAGGCTCCTACAGTTTCCCAGAGTTATGAATCTTGAATATCCGAGCATACCTCTAGCTCTTAGAAAGCTTAAAAAGTCCAATTTCACTAATCTCCTTGCCACAAGCAAAATCAATGTATGGGGCAAGAGACACCTTCCTTTGTAGGACAAGTTACACTCATTAATGCTTCTATTCAAATATACCTGCTTATCTTATTACTCATATTGAGCTCCAGCAAGGTGTTCTAAATGATTTGGAATGTTTTCCAGGCAAGCCCTTCGGTAAAAAGCTCCCCATCGGACTGGATTACAATATGTTGCTTGGTCAAATATTGATTCAAAATGATCATCATGAACTTATCCATAAGTTCTTGGGGCTGACCATCACCACTAGCTTATTATGCAACCTTTGCTTACCCTAGTGAGAGCCATAAGTGGTTTGGTAAACGCGCCTCCATCCTCTACAGTGCATGCTCAGATGGAGGCTTGTTGTGAATGCCATCCCCATTAATTGTTGGCTCGATATAAGAGGGCTTGTTGAGACAATGAATTGCTCATGGGGCTACCACGTAGAGAAAAGTCGATCACATAATGGCACCAAGTGCAGGCTACTAGTAGAGGTCATCTGCATTTTGAGAAAATGGGGAATTAAGGTGCTTTAGTTTGATAGCTTTGAGAAAACCATTAAAGAGATATCCAGGGCCAAGGAGAGAAACATTGCTTTTGCTCATAACCATTGTGTTGCAGTCCACAACTGTTGGAGGGCTTGTAATGCCAAAAGCATGGAAAAATATACGGGCCTTCCACCATTATGGAAGCTAATATACTTGAGTCTCAAAAATAGACGTTTGCCAACCCTCAACATGAGCACTGGGACACTAGTCAGCCATCCCTGCTGCTTCAATAGTACCCCTTCTAATGTCTCCCCGGGTGGATCAGGTTGAACATTGACTGGGCTCTTTTCCCCTCCAATTTTGGCCAGCCTGGCAATGATAATTCAAACAAATAGGAGAAATGCCTATTTGCCAAAGGTGTATAGATTGAGCACTAGGACAATGCCCAAGTGGAGCTTAAAGCTATCCACTCCATCAAAAACATCATGGAGTCATGGACATTTTAAAGCAAAAGGAGTCATTATTAGAAGTGCATTATTAACATTATCAACCATCTAAAAGATGGAACAGAGAGTTTAGCAGGCTCAACCATAGGATAGTATGAACTTGCTTTAATTACCCAATTCAGGCAAGTGCTCTTCCAACTTACCTCAAGGTATTGCAATAGGCCAGCCCATTGTTTTGAACAGCTTAGATTAGAGAATAGTTTTTTGTTGAAGCATATACATGAGTCTCATGCACTTTTACCCTTTTTAAGGATGATAGATCACTTTATGTACATTCATTGCTTTTGTGACTTTGTTTTCTTAGTTTGAATGCAAATTTGAAGTTTCAAAGATTCATATGCAAAAACAAAATAAGTAGGTCGAAAATGTAGCAAAGAAAGCTAAATTATCGTCCCCAAGTTAATTTTTATACAATATCATTCTCCGACAGAGTGCACGGTTCCACATTAGACGGTTTCTGGCTGCAAGTAGGATAATAGATATGATAAATCTAGATCTAGTAAAATTTTGGAAGCATTAAATCCTTAAAATTCTGAATAAATTCGAATGAATTGTTTGATAAGTATTTTCAAGATTTATAATTTAAATGAAGGAGAAGAAGAAGAACAATGAGAATAAGTGGTGTAAATCTCTTGAACCCTATTTCCCCTTGGTTTCACTAAATCCGGAATTTAGCTTAAAATGTGAGGAAAACAAAATTTAATAATAGTAGGATTCAAGTGGCTCAAAGAACAGCATGACAGAATTTAGCCTAAATTGTGATTAAATCTTGAATCAAACAGCCCCATAGTAACCCGAATTCATGTAAGCAAGTTATACACATGAAATCTTTCCAACAAGAAGACGCACGAAAGGAACAGTGAGATACATCAGAAAAGGATAATCGAGAGGTCGGAGTATGTATACCTCTTTATCAGGAGCGCACTCATCGACGTTGCAATCAGATTCTTCGGCACTGGACGAAGCGTTCGCAAAGAAGCCTTTCTTCTTTCTCTGTGGCCATCGGGGCTTAGAGAGAATCCTCTGAGATGAGAACGCGCAGCTGCTCGCAGATATCAAGGACTGGGAAGCAGCGCAAGCCATGGCGGAGCTTGATCTGTCTGCGCAGGAAAAGCAAGGATAGAAACTTCCCCTTTGCCTCTCAATCTCCCCTTTGCCGATCGTGTGTTAGGGGGCAATTACATAAAAGTTCACCCAAAACTTGCTATTTACAAAACAACTTTCATTCATCTTTCAAATACTCACTTAAATATCGAAAATTATGATAAAAATCTAATCAATCTTTTTTATTTTTATCAAATTCTCAATAATTTAATCCATTGATTTGGCAGTTAAGATAAACTGTATAACTGCTTAATTTGTAAATATCATATTTTTGGATGATCAATATGTAGTTTTAAAAATATTATAAAAGTTAGAAATTAAATATTGCATTACTAATTAGTAATTAAACTATATTTGATTGTAACAAAGGAAATTACAATTTTTTGTTGATTTTTTCAGTGAGACCTCAACGTGCCACATATATATTTTGTTTTTCTTCTAGATGCGCATAAAGGGTAATCTGTGCAATTTGAATGTGTAATCTTATGGTGAGAAATCATATCCTAAATCACTATATCACAGATAAATGTGTAAGAAGTCACATCTTCCAATTGTTGCAACAATTAAAGAAAAATATCACATAGTCAGATGTTTAGCACATATTTTATGAAGAAATTAAATGGTTAGATCTTGAGGAAATTTATAGCATAGTATGAAAAATTAAAATTCATTAAAAAAATCCATGTCTATTAAAATTTTGATTTAATTAAATTTATGTTAGGGATGAATGACTTGATGAGAAGAACCCAACGACATCATCCAAGTTAACATGAGTTTAAACCAAGTGTATGTATATTTTAAAACTTCATGATAGCTATTAAATAATTAAATAATTAAATAATTTTTTAATGTTTTTTTACGAAAAAAAGAATTTAAATACCATAAAATCACTGAAATAAATGCATAAAATATGAGTTATGATAAAATAAATTAAGATGAGCCTTTTATAGAATATTTTAAATTTTTGACTAACTTTACAAGCATATCACTACTTAAAAGTTCGAATTAAACCTATTCGCAGTAACTTATATACAATGATTGGAAATCTAAACATTTTTAGAGCTTTAGATATATATACCATTGAAAAAATTAAAACCACATCAAAAAATCATTATTACTAACTTTTTAAAAGTGAGTTACACATTTTCATGCATAGGTTCATAACACCTAAATATTATAAATATAAATATTAAAGTTTAGTTATTAGTTTAGGTGTTATGACTAAAACTTTGTAGACACCTACCATTAAATTAAAGCAAAGCAATGAAAGAGTAAAATAAAAACATTAAAACATGGACGATATCGCTTTATTTTACTAGGCAGCATTCATATTCATGTAACAAAATTATTGTGGAAATGAATTCTTTGTTGTTGTGGAAGTTTTGTAACTTGCGGTTGGATCACCTCTGGAATCTTATTATACAGATGAAAAAAGTTTTTGCTCTACAATCTTCCTTATAGGTTTCTTGGTCTTATACTCCTAGAGAAGATAATAAGCTGGCTAGTTGGGTTGCGAGAAGGGAATTTTCTTCTAAGTTGATCTCTATTAATAATGTGGTGCCAATGGAGATGTCTCGGCTTATCAGTGGTGACTGTTTAGATACTTCTTTTATTAGACTTGATCATGATTTTTTTTTTATTTGAGTGAGTTGAATTTGGCTTACGGTTCTTAGGTTTTTGTGTGTTTTTCTTAGTGAGTTGTATTTTTTTTTCTTTGGGTTTAGTAAAACAGTCTGTCAATCTTTGTAATTCAATTTTTGTGACCAATAATATTTTCTACAATATTTTATTTAAAAAAACATTCAAATTCATGTAATTTTTTTTCTTTGGGTTTAGTAAAACAGTCTGTCAATCTTTATAATTTATTTTTGGTGACCAATAATATTTTCTACAAGATTTTATTAAAAAAAACATTCAAATTCAAGTAATATCTTCAACCTATTACACTTTTATGAATTTTATCTTTCAAACACTATGATATCATTTTGTCATACAAAATTCTGGTGGAATTGTTTTAATTTAGTTATTCAACCTAAATCTAGAAGTCATACCCTCATTTATGTCCACATTCTCTTACTAATATCATCTATGTCTACACTATGTTATCATTTTTTATGTACTGAGTGGTACTAGCTCTATATAGCTTCAAAATGCCCTCACTATAGCTCACTATATCTTTTAATAGTAATAACATGAATTTGACCACATTTTTACCTTACTTAACTACAAATCAATTCTTGTATTATTAAGAATATGCCTGTTTAAAACAAAAAAAGGAAAATTTACATATTTGCCACTCAATTCTTATGTATTTACATATCAAAGACCTAAACTTCAACTAAACCAGCATCTACCTATGCATGAAACGGTATATTTCACTTTTTAAAAGTTAAAATGGTGGTATCTTTGATGTGATATGAAAGCTTTTAGTAGTATAAATTTCAAAAACAATATTTAGGTACTCAATATGTAAATGCGTAAGAAATAGTTGTTAAATATGTAAATTCCTACCCAAAAAAAAAAAAAGCACATGAAGATCATATATTTGCTTCATACAATCCACCACAAACTATATCAATAAAAAATAAATTTTGATGTAGATCACATGTGTAAGAACCAAAGTTAAGTGTTCCCCTCCTAACTTGTTAATAATCTCAACTATTGCTAATTAGCATATTTTCCACTGAACAAATTTGGATCCAACGCTACTGAAGAAACTAGAACCATTCTTCACACTACAAATATAGGCCTCTACCATAAAAAGCCAACGTTTAAAAATATTAATAATAAAAACAAATTTTTTTTGCAAGAATTAACCTATCTTCTTCTAACCAAATGATTAATTCAATATATTAACATATAATACATTTGAACAAAATATTAACATATAATCTTTAAAGTTACATTGACATTATTCTTAATAAAATGTGTTTGAGAGATTGCTTTAGTGTTTATTGCCTAATACAAATAATATAAGAATACTAGGCTTGTTGTAATTTGTTCTAAAGCTAGATGGAGAAACTATACAATTCAATTACTAAAGGAAAAGACTTTAGGGATTTAGTTTTGCATAAATAATGGCTTTCTTTCACCTCACAAGCTTAGCTTAGTGAAAATTAAAATCCATAAACTGATATGATTATTAGGGAGGGAGAGAAGGGATAGGTTCTTACCTTATGTTATCAAGATGAAGAACAAGGTAATTCAGAAAGATGATATTAGTAAAGGATTTAGATAAATTCCTCTTCTTAAACAAGTTGCCCGACCATTGTCTTCTTTTGATGTTGAGACTCCAAAACCAAGATTAAACTCCTTCCAATCGCTCGAACTTTATGTTTTAGCCTTGGGTTGGTGCCACATGCACTCATAAAGCTTGCCCGAGCAATTCTCCTAAGCTTTAGTGTCACCAATCAATCTCATTCTCATACACCATACTATTTGATCATCTATTACATTTCCCAAGTCACATTAAGGATATAAGAAACACAAAAGCATCGATTTATACTAGTTTAATTCAAGAAAACTTTTTTTTGGTGGTTATTACATTCTCTCCACCATATAAGAATTTCGCCTTCAACATTAAAGTCAACAACATAAATAAAATTTTTAGTCTATTTTTCCATAATCCTATGGTCATATATTTATTTCAACAATGGCAAAGATTAAACTTATAATCAAATATTACACATCCCATTTAAGTACAAGAATCCATGGGCACAAAATTATTAAGAAGTGCAATCGGAATAATTTCTAAAATTTACATGAAATTTTGATTTTGAATATCATATCGAAAGTGTATTCTACATCAAAAGTCACCATAGCAAACATTAATAAAGTAAGGCTTGCTAAAAGTAAAGTTATTCCTCACAAAGTATTCATTCAACCTTCTATACATTGAGAAGTGATGTTCCACTGGACCCTAACATAAACATACACCAAAAGGAAAAAAATGAGAGCTTTCATAATAAGAAGTAACATTAAACAAACAAAACCTAAGAACTATTAAAACAGTAAGATTAAAACACAGAATTACCCAACAAAAAAAAAAAAAAGGAAAAAAATGAGAGCTTTCATAATAAGAAGTCACATTAAACAAACAAAACCTAAGAAATATTAAAACGGTAAGATTAAAACACAGAATTACCCAACAAAAAAATCACAAGCTTAAGATCAATCAGTAGAATCAAATAATCTCAAATATAAATCCTCTCATCTTATTAGATTATGAATAAATAGATATCAAAGGTATGAGAAGCATGGCTTCTTCATGTTGTATAAAATCAAAAGATTTACCAAACAATAACATTTCTCCCCAACCCCTCTCTTATTCCTACCAATTTGAGACTCACACAACAAATTATTGTAACTCATAGGAATACCTCGAGCAGTAATTCAAGAAAGTGATGGTGAGGACAGTTCGTCATTTACCATTTCACGAAGCCTCATTGCCTTCTGCGCTTCTCAGAGTCTCACGCTTGGAGGAGAATGGAAATGATGGGGAGATCGTGGACAAGTGGTTCATTTTCGTGAAGGGAAGAAGATATGGGAGATTAGTGCGTGAGAGGAGGAAGGCAAAGCTATTGACCGAGAGCGAGAGCTTTTGAGAGTGTACGTGCAAGATTGGGGAGGGGTGAAATTTTAACTTCGCAGGTCCGAAAAAAAGAAACTCAAAGAGTAGGGGTTTAAACCGCTGCAATGGAATTGCTGCTTTGCTCCAAACTGATCAACACAAAGAGTCGAAGGGTCAGTTTAAACCAATGTTAAAAGTCCTAACGGAAACCGCCGCTAAATAACGGTACTATTATTTATTTATTTATTTATTTATTTGTAGAGTGGGTCAAATGCCCATTAAGGCATCTACTTTTAAGAAGTAGATAAGAAGAGGCTTTTGGCTTCTCTAAATTGGGTGAGCCAGAGTATACAAATATAGTTGATGTAAGAAAATCAATACAATCAACGAAAAGAATAATTTATTTTCTAAAACTTATTGAATTCCATAAACCATTTCAAGCATAAGACAAATTTAAACAAATAAGATTTTAAACAAGCCGA